ATTATTATTATTATTATTATTTCTGCAGTTTAGCGCCATCTGCTGTCAGAGAGTGAAAGTGCGCTTTCATCCAGAGCGTCTCTCACATGTTCCGCCATGTGCTTCTCGTCCGCGCTTATTTACAGCAGAGTGCGCAGCATACAGCGGTGTTGTGCATTTTGACCAGTTGATGGGAAAAGTATTCTTAAAATGCATTCAAAATTCGGAATAATTTGTAATATATAATTATTCACGGTATTTAGAAGTGCCCACGATAACAATATCGTGCATATTCATTGCCGTGATATATCGCATTACCGAATACCGGCACAAGTCTAATTGAGAGCTTTAAAAACAAACAATACAATTTTAAACTCTAAAAGAAACTGGAAGCCAGTGGAGCGAATAAAGAATTGGGGTGATGTGCTCACGTTTGCGTGTGTTATGAAAACACAAACTAATGAGAGAGAAACAAAGAGTCAGGAACAGAGATCATCTTACGTCGCTGTAATTCTCCCGAATGACTTTATAGAGCGCAGGAACCAGAGAGCCCTTGTCCTTCAGAGAGGCAGCGTAGCTGGAGACGGCTGTGTCTGGAAGAGTCTGAAGCACAGCAGAAAACACGGTCAGCACACGAGAAACCATGAAGATGATCACGATTCACGAGAGAGGCCACGCACCTTAAACTCAGACAGCCACTCCTCCACTACGCCTTGATCCATGGCCAACATCTTCCCTCATCTGCTGCAGGAGATCTCAGCCTGAAACACAAACTCAATTAACTAATCCACATTACCATAAAACCCTCTCAAAGTGCTCCTTCAATGCAAAACAGGACTTTCCCTGCGGTTTAGAAAGAAAAGAACCTACAGTATGTAGAAGTGTTATTTAAACTAACTTTCACGACACCCAGTTCAGTGCTGTTGTTGTTGTTGTTGTTAACTAAAACTATTATAACGGTTTTCTATATCTGAAATAACTGAAGATTTGGCAACAAACAGAAACACATAATTTGTGGTTGAAGTAGTAAAATTACTAAACCTAAAACTGATTTAAAAAAATGCAATCAATCAATATTTTCCACATTACAAAATTACATTAAAATGAAAATATAAAAAAAGCTAACTCAAAATATTAATTCATATTTTAATAGTACATGCATAAATTATACATTTTTAAAACAAACGAATATATTGCACATTACAGAATGACTAAAATTTTTAAAAACTAAACATATAAAAAATAAACTAACTCAAAGTATTAATAAATACTAAAATAGTACATAACTAAATTAATAATATACATAATTAATTTATACAAATATTTTGCACACAACAAAATTACTAGCCAAATGTAAAATTCAAATGAAAAATAAAAATAAAAGCTAACTCAAAATATTAATTCATATTTTAATAGGACATGCATAAACGATAGATTTAAAAAACAAACAAATATATTGCACATTACAAAATGACTAAAATTAAAAAACAAAACGAAAACTGAAAATATAAAATTCTATCTGTTATAATTCTATTATAAAATAATCAAAATATTAATATATACTAAAATAGTACATAACTAAATTAATAATATACATAATTAAAAAACAAATATACAAACAAAATTACTCAAACTCAAAATATTAATAAATACTATAGTAGTACACAAATAAGTGAATAACTTAACTTAAAAAATAAATATTTAGCACAATTAAAATTAAAATTAAAACAGAAAATACATGAATAAAACCTAACTCAAAATATGAATAAATACTATAATAATACATAAATAAGTGAATAAATTAATGTAAAAAAATATATATTATTTTGCACAATTAAAATGAAAACTGAAAATACATGAATAAAAGCCAACTCAAAATGTCAATAAATACTATGATAGTACATAAATGAATACATTACATAAAAACAAATATTTTGCACACTACAAAATCACTATTAAAAATTAAAATGAAAACATAAAAATAACAGCAAACTCAAAACATTAATAAATACTATAATTGTACGTAAATAATACTAAAATAACACTGACTAGTTGCACTATGAACATTAGTTATCAGAACTAAACTGCATAAACAGCCACCAATGAGCTCATTAACATATGGCCACCCACATTTATATAATGAACATATTCACAATTCACATCACAGAGATGAAAACATAAAAATAACAGCAAACTCAAAACATTAATAAATACTATAATTGTACGTAAATAATACTAAAATAACACTGACTAGTTGCACTATGAACATTAGTTATCAGAACTAAACTGCATAAACAGCCACCAATGAGCTCATTAACATATGGCCACCCACATTTATATAATGAACATATTCACAATTCAGAAACATCACAGAGCTTACATATTTAAAGGTACAGTAGCAGAAATAGCCTTCAGAGAGTCAGAAAGAGTGAAAACAACCTTTGACCTCTCGCTCTAAACAAGGATATGAGAAATTCTGGCGCGTGTTGAAGAAAATCAGATTAACAAACGTAGCGTAAGGCCAAAATTAAACACAGAGACGCTGTTTTTACTCCAGGGATCCCCGCAAATTACATCAGCAGATAACTGTGCTGGTTAACCTGCCTCTAAAAAAAGACACAGACTTTAACTAGTTAACTAAACGAGGATACCGGAGACCTGTTTATATGACCACAGGCTAAACTAGTTCTAGCTAGTTCAATTCTAAGTAGTGAATTTCATATCACATTTCTTCCTAAAAATGTATAGTCAACAGTGATGTGCATATCATGATATACAACTTACGGAAATGTGATAAAAAAATAAAAATAAAAAATAAAAAATTGGTACACACAAATTTGATACATTTAGATTTTTCTTTTTCTTTTAAAAGTTACAAACATTGCAACTAAAGAGATAAATAAATTAAAGAACTCAAATAAAAAAATTATTTAAAAAAATGTAATTTTTTTTTTAATTAAAATAAATAATTTTAAAATAAAAACAATTAAAATAATTAAAATAAATAAATAACGTTTTATTTATAACTGTTGGGCATCATTTTTATGCAAACAATAAGGGTCAGTTAAAGGCTAGTAAGTAATTAATTTCATTTACAAACCTTTAGTAGCAAAACTTGCTTCATTTCTAAACGGATATCACTGAAAGTTACAATGACTTGCATTTGAACAAATCAGATGTTCAGTATTCTCTCTGACAGATTCAATAAATTCATTCAGTGAAGGATTTATCAGACTGACTCAAACCAGAAACTCTTGAGTACAGGAGTATTTCTGAATGACTCGTTAAAATTCATATTTCTTATGGTGTGTCGCTAGAGTCAATGTCGCTGGAAATACTGGAAAGACCACAATAAACATGACACTCCAAAACATACATTACTGTTCAAACGTTTGGGGTCAGTAGAAAAATGAACACTTTTATTCAGCAAGGATGCATTAAAGTGATCAAAAGTGACAGTCAAGTCATTTAGAATGTTACAAAAGATTCTATTTCAAATGTTGTTCTTTTGAACTTTCTGTTCATCTGTGAATCCTGAAAAATAAAATGCATCACAGTTTGCACAAAAATATCGGGCAGCACGACTGTTTTCAACATTGATAATAATCAGAAATGTTTCTTGAGCAACAAATCAGCATATTAGAATGATTTCTGAAGATCATGTGACACTGAAGACTGGAGTAATGATGCTGAAAATTCAGCGCTGCATCGCAAGAATATATTACATTTTAACAGATATTCACATAGAAATCAGCTATTTTAAATCGCAATAATATTTCGCATTTTTGTTGTTTTTAATTGTATTTTTGTTCAAATAAATGCAGCCTTGGTGAGGAAAAAAGACTTACTTATAATTTTATCAAAAAACATGCCTTACAAAATTCAATTTTCTTCATTTTTTTGGCAAAAGATTCATGATATTTATATTCTCTCACAGACATTTTCCGTGGGTCTGATTTCCACCCGCTCCGACTGTCTCTCTCTCTCTCTCTCACACTCACTTACTGTGGTCACTTACTGGAGTAATGATGCTGAAAATTCAGCTGTGCATCACAGAAATAAATTACAGTTTAACAGATATTCACATAGAAAGCAGCTATTTTAAATTATAATAATTTTTCACATTTTTTCAGTTTTTAGTGTATTTTTGATCAAACGAATGCAGCCTTGGTGAGCAGAAGAGTCTTCTTTTTAACTGCATCAAGAAAAATGCCTTACAAAATCCCATTCCTTCATTTCTGGCAAAAGATTCATTAGATATGATATTTATATTTTCCCATAGACATTTTCCGTGGGTCTAATTTCCATCCACTCTGACTGTCTCGCTCTCTCACACTAACTTACTGTCATCAGTTTTTCCTCTCGTTCTGTCTCTCTGCCCAAAACTTCTGTCCGTTCCCCCGTCATATCATGCGTGAGTCACTTCGGTCTGTTTATAACCTCTACGGCTTCTTACAGTCAACTTCTTCTGACAGCCATTAGTCTGCAGCTCTCGAAGCGCTCTTTAATTAGCGCAGAGAGCAATCGACAGCGGAGAGAGAGAGAGAGAGAGAGAGAGAGAGAGAGAGAGACTTTGTAATCACTCCTTCATTCACAGCTGTATTGATTAGCCTAAACCGCCCCTCCTTTCCCCGCTCATGGATTAATAAACTGTTGCACAGCTTGTGTGAGTCTTATCCCGAACACGAGTGATTGGATTAAGCGACTCCAGTGCCAGAAACGGCTTTCCGCTTCAGGAAAGGGATTTTGCCCTGGTTTCCTTCTATGGTGGTGGAATGGCCGGATTCAGAGTTATTTTAAACAATCGGCTCTGGACGGAGAATCAGCTGGCGCTGCTGAAGGGATAAATGTAAATGTTTGGTGCTCGAGTGGTTAATTATTAATTCAACAGCCCTCGCTTATCACCTGACGAGTCATCTGAGGAATTTAAACACGGGTGACCTTTGACCTGGTAGAGCCGGAGGGACGATATCTGTTACTGTACTGATCCTGGAACTGTAATTCACATTCAAACAGATTAATGCAGACTAGAAGCTGGCAGATGGGAAACGAAGAGAGAGTGTGTGTGTGTGTGTGTGTGTGTGTGTGCAGATAGAGAAACAGAGTGAAAGGGATGGATGGAGGGAGGGAAAGAGGGATGGATGGAGGGAAGGATGGATGGATTGATGAAGTTTGATTGCATCATATAATAATTGCTGTTAATAGTGTTCATCGTCTGTTTGATTACGTCTTTAATTGATTTTTCCGTACATTTCTGCTAGGGCTGCACGATATATCGAAATTATCGAAATATCGCAAATGTAAATATCGCAATATGCATATCGCAACGGCGTGCGATATTTTAATAATAGGCTACTTAAATCAAAACGTTGCAAAAGGTCAAAGTTTTAGTTCGACGCATATAACAGAGAATTGCTTGACGTTAAAAAGAGTTAAGTGCAATAAGTTGCAGAAAACAACTCTTTGCCGTCTCGTCTTGCTGTCTGACTCACACCTGAAGCGCGCGCACAAGC